AGTTTTTCATTTTGTTACATACAACACATGCATCATCACCTTTGTTTGGTGATAGTGGTTCTTCCCTTCCTCATATATTTTGCCAAACTTTGGTTCCTTGTTCTTCCCTCGGTGGGCGATTATATTACGAGAAATGGGAGAAAATGGGAGGAATATAAGAAGAAAAGGAAAATAATTTTTCATGTGCTCAAAGGAGAAGGAGAGTAATCCCTCAGAAAGTCTGGGGGTCTTTCTTGGGAAATGAAAATGAGCATTTAACATGCCCAGCCTGCCTACCACAATGCCTACCTAGACAAAAACTCCCTACCTACTTTCACATTTCACATTTGGCGATGATGTTGGTAAAAGGTTGGTGGGTGTTTTTACACCGTGGTGGTCGTGGTGGAAGAATTGCTCGCAATTTATAAAGTGCTTATGACATCCTTAAGAGGGAAATGATTACATTAATTACACAGGATTAAGACGAAACGGGAAAATCTTTCGTACTTCTTATACTCCGAAGGACGAGTTGTGCTTCCTCCTCTCTTCCTTCCTTGCCATCTTTCACTTTTAAGATGCTCCTTTATCATTCTGGAATGATTTGTCAAACTTTATGCACCATTTCAATATATTTTTCTATACACAAAAAAACGACGCCATTTAATGATCCGATTCTGCGATTGTGTCATTTTACTTATTGTCCGAAACTAGCCGGTGTAAATTTCGGCGGAATTTCTCTCCAACAAACAAATTGCGCAACGCAGATTACAAAAGATTTATGTATTTGGTTGGCTTTCTAACCAAAAGCAGTACCGTGTCAATAGTGGAAACTTTGCAATTCTGAAAATCCCATAAAACTATTATATTCCGAATAAGGTACATACTAGGAGGACGACGATTGTTTGATTTAATATTGTCAAGTGTGGGCGAGAAGTTTGCCAGACAATCCACCAGCCAAGCAAGACGTACATAACCGACCAACTCTCAGTCTCCGTTGCAGTATTGTGGCGATGGAAATGGATGATGGAGAAAGTTCGAGATGAACTTTTGGAGAAATTCTTCTCGCACTTTTGCTCTTTTGTGAAACTGGCAAGCTCGCACCAAGACGGTGGGAATTACCTTAACTGCTCAAGTTGTAATTTTATTTGGCAAATGATAAAATAAAATTTGCATGAGGAGGACCCTTAAAATTTTAATTAACTATTTGTAAGTAGCGAATGTACTAGCTGTATTGTACTTTTATCCCTGGCTCGCTCGCAGTGGGTTTATGGGCTAATAGCTTACGTAATGGAGGTGAACTACATTCAAAGGGAATGGAATTGTGAGGGGTTTAATTTGGTCCTGTTACATGATCAAGTTAAATTTTCACTGACTTTCACTTCTTCCTATTTCAATTTGATTAAGTCGAGGAGAGGATGATTCATTCGGTAAAGTATTTTTTTACAATTCTGAGCAACGTGCTTAGTTTAGAAAGAATAAAGAAACGGGGACAAGACAGGATACTGGGTATGAATTGTTGAAAGGAAATTACCTCGACGACTACACCGCCATTATTATGTAACGTTTCCTCGATAAAAAAATTTGAATGTATGCCAAAGAATTTGTTTGCAATTTCCTGAATGCTATGTCTGGGTGGAAAAAAAAGTTGTACAAATAAAATTTATGGGGACATGTTCTTCAAAACATGTAACTCGTTTCCCGTGTACAATCTAAAATAAACTTGATACCTCTTCAAGGAAAAATAAAATTGAAAATATTTCTACTTCCTGTAAATATGTCAAATTAATGTAACATGTCATGTAATTTCAATATGTCTGGGATTTTATCAATGCACACTGGTTATGCATGCAACAAATGCAATGAGATTACATTCAATGTGAAACTTTTGTGTAATTTTTTACCTTTCAATTAATTTTCGTTTCTTGTGAGATACGCAGATTTGGACGATTATTGATTTGAATTTAAATTGTCTGCAATACAATTTCCTTTTCATTGTAATACATGCAGAGCAAACCGCTGAGGTGTATTATGCACACAACCAGTGGAATAATTCGTTTGCTTTCTCCACTGCTTTACTGGACTGTTGTTTTCATGGGACATTTTCCATGCCATAATACATTCAGTGTAGAAATCTGTTGTAAAACTCATTTACATACATAATTTGGCAAATTGCATTAGCACGAGCAACTCATTTCAGGTGATGATGATGACAGCAAATTATTACGAAGATAAGAAATCCCTGAGAATGTTGGGTTTCGTATTTAAAATTTGCGAATCTCACACTCCGTATTCCGTGGTTTATACAAATAGTGAATGTGTGTCGTTGCAATTTATAAATGCTTTCTCCAACTCATGAATCTCACCACCGCACTTTCTCTCTCGCAACGTTGTTTCGCTACTGGAAAATCCCATATCATTCCGATATTCTTATACATTGTAGGCGAAAACGAAAGTCGTGATCTGCTCTGCATAATAGGAATAATGGCAGAGCACAGCAAATAGCAACCTTGGGATTTGAACGCGGGGACCTTTATCGCTTTCTTTATTTCTCAAGGTATCTCGAGGCATTTGAGGCTATACGACTTCACCCCAACGATGCAAATGTTAACGCTCTGATTTGGGTATGGGACGACACGGAAAGAAGAAGTGAGTGGTCTGGTTGGACGTGCTTTCATCTTATCCTTCCTTATTTCTTATCCAAGACACCCCCGCCTGCTTCACTTCAGTCGGTATTATACATACTTTCCTTGTCTGCCCTCCAGTGCCAAATCTGTTTAACGATAAAGTTGAACCAACCAAACCACGAGTGTGGAGAAAGCACGGGAGGATCTCATGAATGCAAAACTGCTTCGTATCGATTATCATCATCTTGGAAACTAATACCAACCCAAGAAACCAAACCAGCACCACTGTCACCCCATCTTTTCTCCACCCTGATTTAAACGACACGCATAAAAGTGGGCGATATATCTGAACATCAAAAACACGAGAGAGACAATCTTTTCAGCTGCACATTTATGATCCAAATTAGCTCACAACTACTCTGTATTCTACTCCACACGTCTGCATGACGTATCAAAGAGAGATATAGACGGGGCAGATATTTTCTTTAAATTAGACGACCAATGATGTCAAATAAAAAGTATGGAGATTTAGGTTGCACTGAGGAGATAGCCCCATAAAATTCTTCCCTTCGTACATACACAGTTTTCTTGGGGTAAGCCATAGGGCAAAGTTTGAGTTTTGCACTCGTTTTTCTTCATGGTATAAACGAGTTTTCTCTTTTTCTGCGAGGGTTGAGGAGTTGAATATTGAGTGTGCAAAAAAAGTATTGATTGCGCCATAAAATGAAGGTCTGTTGGTCCAGGTGTATGTATGGCGTAAAAAAATGCTGGGCGTTTTTTTTTCGAGCAAAAAAAACCTGGACTGACATCTTCATCCGGTGCTTTTTTTATAAATTTACTCACTCACTTGGTTGGAGTGTATTGACATTTTTCGTGAGTGAGTGAGTTAAAGAAAGAGTCATAAATAACTGGGGGATAGAATTGACTCTGATCTTGTGGTGTCGATTTTTCACAGAAATTTTCAAAAGGTTATAAATGCGAACGTGGTTTTTATTAGGTCGTTTCGTTCGAAAAGTAGTGAGAAAACTGGTTCCCCTTTACGATATTTTAGATTAAACTTGACTGACAGCGGGCGGAAGGAAGACTTGTTTCTGGGACAAAGTTGTTGGTCTCGTTCTGTTAAGAAAGTCATACATTCTGAAAAATATTTTCTTCTTGAGGAGAGAAAATGGAATAAATAAAATGAAATTCTTATGATAATCATACCCATATTTATTTCAGGTCTATAAATATTTACACCTGATACAAAATACATACGTCCTATATTTCGTAAGGAAACAATAATATTCAAATTTTGACACAACAATGACATAAAAGGTTACAAATATCCAGTTAATTCTGCGCTTGTGACATGAAAAAGAAGAACATTTTCTTTATCTCTTTCCTTCGGTGACTGAAATGGTCGCTTGATTCCGTCAAATTGCATATTCGATTACACATCTCTCTTTCGAAATGTTTCCCTGAACTGTGAATTCATATGCGGGCAGGATACTTTTCAAAAGAGAGAAGAAGAGACCTGTGTAGTCTACTGTTAAATCGGACAAAAAAAAGAGGATGACAATTTTATACCCGTCGAATATATCGAATTGAGAAATGATTTAGTACAAATTTATTACTTTATTTTTTTCCTCTTCTTCTTCTCCTTTATTGTGGTTTATATTTATGACTGTCTTTGTGGAATATCCGATTTCAAAAGTGACAGTAAACGGTCACACAACAATGATTCAATGGATCCGTTTCGGTGAAGGACACATTCTACGCACTACATAATTCTTTGCTCGGATTTTGTCGTCCCTGGTGAGTGGGTTTCTTTTGTGAGCGTCGGTTTGTTGGGTGAGCAAAAAATAGAACGTTTGCCAGAGGTTATGTTTCGTTGTATCAATAATTCTAAATATTGTTACAGGTATGTATGCAACTTTATTTTTATTAGGTTTTACTTGAGTTGTGTTATCTATTATAGTTTTTAAGAGCTTGCTCTGAGACAATGGCTAAATCTATGATTTTGGGTTTAACATATTTATAAATATGAAGATAAAATGTGAACGACGCTTACATTTAACAATCCAGCATTAAAATTACTCTTATTCTGAACTTTTGCTTCAACGCTTGTATGATAATCGTAAACTGATGTTCCTCATTCCAGTTACTCCAGATGATCTTAATAGATATATGCCTTGTTTACTTTCGTACTAACCAAGCCAATGTACTCAATGTTTGAATGCATAAAATATGCAAAATCTACTCCCGTTTTTTATTCAAAACTTATTAAACATCATGAACGGAATCCCGTTTCTCAATCTGTCCGAATATAATTTATTTCCAGCAACATCTTCTTACTTGTTGTTTATTCTCCTAAATATAGTATTTGCATTATTCATTCAACTCGTCTGTATAAAAGCAGATTCTTTGGGTTAATATTTACCAAGTCGTGTAATCTTGTTCTTTGGAGTTCATGCAAAAAATAAGAAAGAAAGTGAGTTAAACTATTTTTAAGTAGAATTTCTCAGCTAATAATTTTCAAAGTTTCAGTTAGAATGGTTTCCAAAAAAATTGCGCTTACGATCATCTTCAGCGTGGTCGCTTTGGTCGCGTTGTTCGATGCAACTACTGCCGCACGTGAATGCAACAATGGGGCGTCAAACTGTTTGGCATGCGTTTGTAACGTGTGGGATGACACTGCGACCTGCTGCAGGGCCGAGTTTAACCAAAACAATGGAAATTGTGAGGGAATTAAGAAAGGGAAAAACGGTAGCTTCAAAAAATGTTGTGACAGTAAACGAGGATTTGGAAGGTGTTGGTAATACATATGCAACTCATGATTAATACTATTATTTAGTTTCACATATGCAATTCGAATCAGAATAAATCAAATAAAATGTATATTCATTGGAAAACAAGATGTTCCAAACTTTTGCCATTCATTTGATTTCATTAAATTCTGATACATAAAACTTCACCATAACTGATCCAGCTATGAAATATACATTAAATTGTATCTTAATTAAGTTGTATCATACTTTTGGACTCAACAACACTTGATTGATGGTAGTACTTATGTACATAAGTCATATAATCTGCATTTCTTATTGACACGATACATTTATTTGAACTTTGTTAAGTTTAGAGGTGAACGAAATTTTTATTATAAATATGCAATGCAAACTATTTATCTTTATGGTCAACTACAAAACAGTTATGTTAGGTTTGTATTGATCAATGTTCATTACTAATATTCGTTAATGTATTAAAAAACAACATGATGTTCAGTTAAATATGCACTTGATAACATTAATTCGGGCTGTCTTTAGTTATTTTATTTCATTCATGCATGTCTTTGCAGACATAATATTTCATCGTACTTGAGATAAGACGTAACCCGTGCAAGAACTAAATGCATACAGTACGCGAAACAACATGATATCACAATCTATTGAACTCTGACTCAGATAACGGTTATGAAATCAAACAATTTGGTTCTTATTAGACAAAAATGAGACTTATTACAAGTAAATGGCGTGATGGGTCACAGAGTATACTTAAGCTAACTGCAATTATGACATGCAAAAATTCAGATTACACTAGAAATATCTACATATTTTGCCAATATATAAAGTAGCCACCATGCAACGATTTAACCATGCTGCCATTAACTTGCAAATTACTCGACCAAAGTATGGGCCTTGGAATTATCCCGTGTATACAAACATGCAATTTCATCAATTCCGCATCACTTCCATTTGCATGTCCATTCCAGGGAAAGACATATTGTTCATGCGTTCCTCCAACATTGATTGCCTCAGTTCCAGACGACCTTGTAAACGAAACTACAACATATTAATTTAATGTCTCATTTTTCTAAAGTTTTATGCATTGAAATCTTTAGACGTGGGAGTATGACAACTGCAACTTGAATTCAACGGGATCTGAGTCCTGTGTTTCGGCTTGCGGAGTGCGAACTGGGACTTCAGGACCGACAACTTGCGCCTCACAATTAACTTCTGGAGGAGCCCTGAAACGCTAACTTTGCAATTGTCGTAGTGGACAAGCAAAAAACGTAATTCTTTCACTTCTTGCTATCATTTTTAGAGTTATGCATAATTATTGTTTTCCGGCAGGCTCCAAGTACCTGCACCCCCGGATCAGCTACGTGTTTATTAGCGTGCAATTTAATAGCGACAGGTGATAAAGGTTATGCTTGTCCAGTTGGAAATGAAATTTTCTGCAGTTGTTTCCCTTCTGGGACGCAGGGATGAAGTTCTTGACATTTAATGGCATTAAATTCATATATTCATTTGAATTTCTAAATCATTTAATTCTTCAATAAAATAAAACCTTAAATTTTATTCCTGGCAATAAAAATATTTACTATTTTGATCAACCCCAACCACATCCACAAAACCCCAATTAGCCACATTGGGAATATCTTATTAGGTACAATAAATCGTTTGATTCCACATTCGTTGTATAACTTTTCCAATCCCACACCCTTACATATTTCTTTCCACCATTTTCACACTCTCGCCATGAATAGTACCAAAGCAATACAACAAACTTTCATACATTTTTCATACCATTTTTAGAAGAGCGGCATCATCAACTCCACGACCCAACCCTGTAGCACGTCTCTTCTCTTAACTAAGAGGAGCAGGAAGAACAGAAGAGAGATAAAACACAATGTCATAAATCTTGCGTTCTTTTTTGTCATCAGTTTGAAATCTTTATGGGCCAGAAAAATATACAAGGATTCGTTCCTTCTCTTTGCTCTTTAGCTGTTCACTTTCCCTTTGCCCTTTCCTCCGCAAGCTGTATTGTTCTTCCTGCTACTCGATATCGCTCCTCAGACCTTTCCAACAGCAGCAGTCTTATTTCTTATTTATTATATGAGCGCATTATTATATTACACAAAGTATGTGTAACTCTCGAGACAAAAGGCCACTGTAAACATTAGGTTAGTTATAAATAATCGTTGTGTGCCACATCCATAAAGATGGGATTCATTGCGTATACCAAGTGAGTGAGTGAGTAGATTGGAGTGGTTGGTACTCACATTTCTATTTTTTGCTCTTTACACAAGAAAGTTGACAATGTTTCGGTGGTGGTGTCTCTTCTTGTCTGTTGGGTTAGGATTTCTGAAATGTATGATGATGATGATATCCCGTGACTTATTGCCTCCCTTCGTACCTTATTTGGCAGTCCGACTAATTTAATAAGTTGTTGGTAGGAATCCTGTCATAAACATTTTTGTTACGTAATCTCTTGGCAAGGAAGGAAGGAGATCCAGGCTTATGTAAAATGGGGAAAGTTAATAAAATATAAATATTGAATTAGATGTAAGAATAAGTGAATTGTGTCCACAATTCGGAAATCTACCCTGATTTCATTCATTCACGAATCCTGTGTAGACGTACCTACCAACTGCTTTAATTTGAAAAGTAAATATATTTCGGATAAGAACATGGCTTAAAATTGTGTTAAAGATTGTCAGGATTAACAACACCGAGCGTATTTCAATATTTGATTTTAACCCTCCTTCTGCTCATATGACCTGATTCAAGTGCTGTAAAACCGTGTCAAAGATCTCTCTCTTGGCGAACATAATTCAATATTTGCACAACTTTTTGGTGAAAGAGTTCACTCTTCCGGGACGGGGGTCGTCTCTTCTTGCCACCATTACGGTTTGTTAGAAGAGGACAAAAGTGCCTACCTAAAAGTTTGCATCTTCTCAAGAGTGAAGAAGACCAAGAAACTGGATGTTGAACACCAAAAACTGAGGATGAGCGCACCACAAGGGACGACTTGCTTGCTAGATTTGGAGATTGTATGGTCCGTCGCATATAAATACATTGATCGCATTATTCGCACTTCACTTTCACCAAAATATCTAATATGTGAAAATCAGTCACAAAAAAATTCAGGGTAAGTATATTTCATTTTATTGCATTAAAGTGGGTGGACAATCTGCCCCTGATAAGATAACACCATCAGAAATTAATTGCCTTGGCATGGCGTTTCATAATTTCTTAGCCCTATCTTAAATATTACTTGGCTTACTACATAACTAAGTGAATGACCAAGTTGTTGACCACACTCTGAGGTTATGGTTGGTTACGTAATAAAAGTGAACGTGGGAGAAAGTCGGAGACTCGTCAAAAAGAGTGGATTAAGACTATTTACCAAACGTAGTTCCCATAAATCAATTCCCTGCCTTCTTGCTCAGCATCTGCAGCAGGTCTTAACGTACGTACATAGGTCCCCAGTCGCCAGTTGTACAAGTCCAAGATTAGCCGGCTCCAAATACTTATGAAAGTAATATTGAATGAAGTGGGCTTACAAAACTTGTTGGCTTGCACCTTATCATTGCAGACACTTACTTATTTCAGAACTCCTTATTACACCCTGCGTATTTTTATCCAGGCATAAGTACCATGCAAACTGCATAATTTAATGTAGCACGAAAATCTCGAGATTTAACTACGTCTGAATAAAATGTCTGTAAAGGATTGTTACAACTGAAATTGGGTAAATGCTAAATCTATATTTTGATAAGATTTCTTCTCCCCACTCGAATTCGTGGTGTACATAAATACGCAAGTTTTTCTTTTCTTTCTTTCTTTCTTCCCTGAGTTAGAGCCATTTTCCTTTTCGGTCGGTCTCATCATAACAGCTTATGTCTTCCTGTTTTATGCTTGAAATGATGTCGCCTTTTTGTTCACACGGTGAAAATTTATGAGAAGAAAGTACATAGTAAAAAACTAAAGACTTCTTTTCTTTCGCTGTGTGTGACGTCTCAAGTCAAGTTATGTCGTCCCAGTTATTCTTTGCCGGAGGAAGTGTGGAGTTGGTTACTTTTGCGGTGTGGTTGGTTATTATCCAATCCTATGAGGGAGAAATGAATACTAAATCCGCTTGGCTTCCTGGTTAACAAGCTAAGCTATAAAGACGGAGAGAAAGTAGATGCATCCACGTATGTATGTATTACGACCTGGTTTGCTTGCTTACTTAAATCATATCACATACTATGTATGTAACATCTCCCTTGCCTTTGGAAAAAGTAAAAGCGAGATCCCAGTGTCCTCGTAACTTATAACTTTCCCCATTTTTATTACTTATCGCCAACTCCATAAACTGCGTAAGAGGGATGAAGATAAGAAGAGTGGTTGGGTGGTTGGAAGGCTTTCTGTAGCTGCTTACATATTGGATTACGCCGGTCTTGGGATTTTTCACCCTATTAAGCAAATTGGGGGTCGACATCGGGTGACATTCAACTTTTCTCTCGTCGTATCTTATCACCCTCGTATTTATTTAACTTTCCCCACTTATTATGTAAGGTAATCCGCTACTGACACATTAACCGAGTAGGAATATGTACACGGTTTTTGGCTTTATTGAAATAAAATTTCTCCCACTGCGCGATCACTTTTCTTCTTGATGATGATGATGGTGTTTTCACATAAACATGTTTCGTAAGTCAATCATCCATTCTAGCTAAATAGTTTAGCTTTTAACCATAAAAACTTACAAATTACGTGAAATGTTATTGTGTAATTATTTACAATTTCAAAACAACACAATAAAACATTTCATTACTTGACATTTCACAGTTTCAGCTAATTTACGGGTGTTTGTACCCGTAATATTTGAGGTGACTTATGTAGAACGCAATGTGCAACCCACCCCCAGTGTAGTTTTCTGCGGTTTACTTGGTGGTGTAGGAGAAATAAATTAGGCCGCAAAGACTGGAAAGAAAGTTTCTATATAAATAAAGAAGAGAGGATCAGCAGACGCTCCATAGACCAAGTACGAGAGAGAAAGAGGAACTCTATCAGTGCTTTTTTGAGTGCTCAACTTCTGAGTGGTTTGGTTGCAGATAATAGGATTTTCTCCGACCGAGTAGAATAGCAGAAGAGGATTCGTTCATTTCGTTTATTTGGAATTTGCAGTGAGCTCAGATAGAAAAAGTCAGCAAATTAGAAGGTATCTTCAGATTCATTCATGACTTTGGCTTCGTATGTGTATTAGAGTACAATGTATGTTGGAGTAGATAGTTAGTAAGTAAAAATACGCCATGTCCACCCCATTTGTTGGCAGTTGCAAAAACAATGCCAAACTTGCATTCCGTTTTGCAAATTAATTAATAATAAATATTTGATTGATGTAACAAGATTGAACTCTTTGTTCCCCACAAAGCAAATTATTTTATGCCCGATACATTATAAGTACAAATTTATTGTACATATTCTTTCTCACGTATTGCGTCTTATTTCTCAAATAAATTACCGTAATTCCTGCCTGTCACTTATCCCTTCCAACGTGTGACGTGTGTTCTCTTCTTCTTGCGGTTTGGTTGGGCTTACATTTTCTGCGATTTGCTTCCTCATCAAATTGTAATTGGTTTTCGGTCGAAGAGCTGTCTTACTTGTGACCTAAATTCGCCCAGCTTATATACATGTGTAGCTTCGAAGAGAAATAATTCGGCCCAATTGTGAAGAAAATCGATGTCCAAGTGAAGGATTTTCCAGCTAATTGAGTTTATTTAAGTAAGAAACTTTTATAAGTAGGAGGAAAAACTGCAAATTTCGATAGTAGGATTTGACCTTCCGGAGGAGTACGTACGTTTCAATGATCATAGAGCTTAACTCTGTCTGGCATCAGCGGTCATCATTCGCAAAAACATACGCAGATCGTTATATTCCGGCGGTTGAAATGATTTCAAATCCGATTAGTGCATCGCCCACATCGAACCACGTCTCTAGTTACGATTATGTAATATTGGAGCTTAAAAGGACTTTATGTCCTTCTCGACACTAAAAATGTGGGAGGCTACAGATACATAAGAACGGTGACGTTGGCGGTATCAATGTGCATTATAATGCTTATCAGGCCTATCTTAATGCCGCTATTTTATATCTCGATCGACAACACGCTCGATAAGTATGTTCGAAAGTTACGTAAGTTAATCGGCCCACTTTTTCGAGATGCTGTTTGCCATTTGTAACTCTAGAATATATTAATATTTAGCATTTTCATGATAAGCATAAAGCGTGGTGAGACAAAGTAACGTTAACAAGATTTATTACTTATTTATTCATTCCGTTTCAAATAAATGGAGCAAGTATTCGCTTAATTGTACCAACCTTAATTATTATATTATTAATTATTGACTATAAATTGTTGAGGTCATGATGTATACAAAGTAATCTTACAACAATTAGTTTGGCATAAATTAGTATGGTCGTGGATACATATTTAATTAGATTTCACTCAATTAGTGCGGGACTCATAAATACATACATACAACAAGGTGAAATATTATTATGATACTTGGCATACAAAATGTATTTCCTTTTCTATATCCTATTTTACAACCTATCCTTGAGGTATATATATATTTATATTTGATAAGTAAAAGTAGCACATTTATTGATTGATAACTTTATTACGAATCAGAGCCACACCGGGTTGATTTTGTCCTACATAAATAACATTCGTATATTGTGTATCAAAGTCAATTCTAGTTTAATTTAGAAATTGACTTTCTCAGCTCTATAGATATCATCATCATCTCTCAGATGACTGACTGGACTGGGCCGATCGACCAAAACCGACATGTGAGGTGATTTGACTTGAGGGAAAGTATGGGACCACGGAATAAGATTGAGATAGTATCCATTGAGCCGAGGTGAAGCAGACGGACCAAATCCGTTACAATGTGTTGACTTTCACTACCACCGTCCCGAGAGAAATTCCGTTTTGATCGATCATTCCGTCATAAATCACGCACTTTCACTCACTTAATAATACTCCATGGATGGATGGAGAAGACCAAAACCGCACTCACTGCAACATTTACTTTTTTTCATTCATTCATACTCCTCGTTTCCTAAAATTGTTCCAGTCACCTCAACAAACCATGGAATGACATAACGCTGTCTGTCACACACATACACACCGCAGCAGCAACACCAACAACAATCTGCTGGGTGCTGCTGTTTGACTCTCTCGTCCTCCTTGTTACCTAGAAGAAGAAACTGACGAGGACAACTTTGTTGTGACATGCCAATTTGCAACTTGTAAAAGTTGGGAGAGTATTTGCACGCAGATGACAATTCAGTCCTTCCCCGTGTCTACTGGTATGATTGACATTGGCAAAAATTGTGGATACTCGTTCATTCGTTAAATTGGAGCCAATTCAAATTCCCAATCCAAATTTCTTTTGCTTTCCATTTCGTTTGCATGTCATTGTGGTGACAGTGGTGGTGGTGGGAGAAAGCATGTTTGCCGTGTGGATAGAGTAGGAGCCATGAATAGATAGAATGCTTATTATAGTTTTGGTGGTTGGATCTCGACTCAGTTTCAGGTCAAGTATACAAACGCTATCCTATACAGATGGGAAACTGGGAAAGTAAATAAATGTGTGCATTTCGTAGAATTGATTTTCATTTCGGAGTCCTCGCCGTTGTTGAAATTGATTCCGGAATGGTTGGTCTGCTGAAGGGAAAGTCTCCTCGAACCAATAGAACCACTGCCACGGTGTGGTTTGGTATTATGTATTTGCCCAGTTTGTTTGCATACTGGTTGTCGTGCACTCGTTATTATGTAACACTTCCACATGTACATAGTTCGTTCGTCGTATACCAATTAATCATAGTAAAAGCGTATGTTGGTCGCTTCCCTCTGCCTGTTGAGTCCTCTTCCGAGTGTCATCGTGGCCGGAATCTGGTTTTGCGAAGTGGAAGAAGAAGTGGAACTCATCATAATGGAATTTGGCCCACCCCCAACAATCCCCCCCGAGTTCAACATTGAGCTGTTGGTCGATGTCACTGTAGACACGGCAAGTCCCCTCGTCCCCAAATCGTCCGACGGCCCGGACGACTTTCTCAGAATGGAGGGAAGTTCTGTAATCTCGTCCATCACAACACTTAACTCATCAATATCACTTAACCTCCCGGTTGCAGTTATCGGTCCTGCCGACGAGGAGGAGGGGTGCTTGCTGCTGCTGTTCGTAATATTATTAGTGCATCCGGACGATGACCGGCGAGAGGACGCGCGTTGAATCCAGATTTTCACAAGGAGCACGGAAAGTATTACGCCGAGGCAGGAAGCAATGCTGATTGTTATGTAGAGCCATAATTTGTCCGTGTTCCCTGCGGGGTAATGACAATAATGGCGACGTGATTATAAATTCAAACTGCGAATAAGTTTCGAATCTCAAGAAATTTGCAGGTACTTTCACTCTCTCCACTTTCACCAGAGTGGAAATTGCTGCTTCAATAATAAATTGTGCGTCATCCAACTCTGAACAAATTACGGGATAAATGATATTTTGCTTCAAGGTTCTACACAGCAGAATGAAAAGCTGACAAAATAATATTGCATTTCCATGTTTTCACTTTACTCTCACTCCGACAGGATACATGTCTGTGGGAAACATTTTCCTGGATTTAGGTCTAAATTGGAATACGGAGCTATTTTGGGTCAAACAAATCACTACAACTTACCAGATTGCATATATATTTGCATTTACATAAATAATCAAAATAAATATGATGTAAGCGTATTTATATTTAGAATTTCGTCAAATATTTACGAGTAAAACTTTCAAAATTGTGAATGGAAACTGTCCCTACTGTTTCAACTAAAAACTTCAACTAAAAAAACGAGGGAAAAATGTGCAAACAAAATAAAAGTAAATAACTTACTAGAAATAAACTCGTAAGCCTGTATCCCTTGAGAAATTAGGTAAATAATGTGCACGTCCTGGGAATTATTGGAATTTGCATTTGAAGACGTAGCCCGATGGTCTTCCCCTCTTTCCTCTCTTTGTACTTGAACAGCAGAAGATTTCAGTCCGAAATTGGAAGTTTGTATTTCCATTATCGATTCGCCTACGCGGATGCAAAATGAACAGAAAGACGCGTAAACAAACGTAAATAGATAAATAAGAAAAACTTTCCTGCATAAGTACAAAATCAAACATAATGAAAACCGTTATGCGACAAAGTCGAAAAAACTTTGTCTCCAAAGAAAGAAGTCACGTTTCATTAACTACTCCACAAAATAGCTCCATCAAACGAAAGAAGTATGATTAAAAGACAAGTCAAGTGTTGTTAATGACGAATGTGGCAGATTACCACTTAATTACTTTATAGAGATGAGTCCAATTACACTCTGTAAAGATGCCAAGCACAAAAAAGGATCAAAATGTGTCTCTAACTGCAGCCCTTGCACCACACAAAAATAATAATGATGCAATGCTCACTCGAGGAGAAGAAATGTATTTACGAAGGAGGAAAGAAGAAAGCGGGTAATATCATAAAGCAACAATTTTTTTACAGAGTGGAGCATTCTTTGACGGATTTTATTGCTCGTAAAACATGAAATAATCGTACACGTAGCAGTTTTGTCTCACGGAAAAGGTATGTAGGCATTACTTTTGACTGACTCGAGGGCTTGTGATATGTAGTTATAGGTATTATTATTAGTTCGATTAAACGTTATTGCAAGAAGACTTGACCCTGTCCAGGCAAAGCGGAACGAACGTTCGCAGACTTTAGTACTGGAAGCGGTCACTCGTCTGTCGTCAAATTCCGCCATCTTATTCTTTTCGTACAGTCTTCGCTCCACTTGGCGGATGATGAAAAATGAAGCAAGTAAACAAAGTTAAGCACACACAGAGAGAGAGGACAAAGACAAAAGAATGGAGCGGATTGGAATAAAATGCCATGTTGCCGTCATAAAGCTGGGAGTAAATGGCCGTGTGTAATTCAATATACAATATCAATACGGATCGCTTCTTTTTCTCTCCTACCGGAAGAGTGGCTTTTCGAGAGGGTATTTGGCTTCGAGGTGGACTTGGGATTGACCCATCCTTTCGAATGATCCGCTAGCTGAAGTTCCACCACCCGTCCGACCGGCTCTCCAGTTTCATCTGTGCACAAAAATACGTCCGCCCCCATTACACGATGAAGATGGCTATGACTAAATGCATGTACGTATATCTTGTCATAATTGTGTCGTGTTGTTACCTTCAGTCTCTTCATCAAACATCTCGTCAGGCTCCGGCTCGCCTTGGTACTTTTCTAGTAGCACTTTCCTTGGAACTACACGAAATAATAATGAGACACGTTACCGAAATTGGATGGGTAGAGGAAGGAGGATCGTACACACACAAATTTAAAAATCATTGAGCGTTAAAAAGGGATGGGAAAGTGACACTGCAGAAGAATATGTAAAGAGAATGGTGTCGCATAATTGTCTCATGTTCTCCATGCATGGTTAAGCTTCAACTAAATAACGCTTCCGCAGGTCCACTTTCCCTAATTGAAAGACATCCATTAAGCTATTTAAAGAGTAAATGAGCACATACATATGTGCACCCACGAACAAAAACGGTGTACAGTATGCATAAGTTAGTTAGCTATATGGATAAACAAGATATGTAAGGGAAGTTTAGGACATTTCTTCCCCTGGTGGGACTCTGTTATGTAAAAGTAATACGGATGCTGCGTAGAAAACATGTGGACTCTTGTTAATTTTTATGTGGGTAATTTCACTCCTCAGAGGAAAGCAGTATCATTACAACTTCTGCCTTTAATCAGTGGGGGGAGGAGGAGGACGTAGTATTTTACTTCTTTTCGCTTACCGCATGTAAATATGACTTTCAGATACCTGCAAGTTACATAATACGACAAAGTTAGAGGATGTTCTAAAAATGTCGCGTCGATATGATATTTCAGTATTTACTACATACATGGATGACTCGGGTTTGCACGGCGTTCCAAAAGTTGCAGGGTCCACGGACAAGGCACAGCGTCGCTGTATTCACAAATTGTAGTCACCACACGTGAAACCAAATATTTAGCAAAATTTCAAAAACATCCCTTACCTTCCCGTGGCACATTTGCATTACGGTCTCCGTAGCGAAACTTGACAAGCAAGCTGTGTCCCGGTCATGAAGGATGATGGGTTGATTCGCCAAGGACATAATGATACATAAAGAGAACTCGAATTAGCCCAAATAAATAAGGTGGAAGACCTAACCACTCTTTTACGCACCCCTACACACACACCACAAAATGCAACACAATAAAGTAAAGGGGAGGTGACTGGAACGTGGTGTTTCGACTCATCGCCGTCGTCCTGGTTCGCCATAATGGTATAGTAAACTTAACTGAAAAGTCATTACATTTTACATTACATACTCGTTTACCACAAATCTCCCCCGGAATACAGTAAATGTCGCCATTACGTCAACCCACAACATGTTGTAAATTCTTTCCCAGCCTTGAATCACCACTGACAGAAACAAGTGCACATAAGCACAAGAGCTTGGCAAAGGATTTTCCCCATTTTGTTGCACAGCGAGGTGAATAAGTTGTTCAATCTGTAGCTCTTTATCATCATCATTGCTTGTTACGTAACATTATTGTCTTACGTAAACTTATTTTTGAACTTTTGAACTTGAGCGATTAAAGTGAAAGAATGTTTGTTTTTTTAGAGGAAAAATTCCACATTTTTGAAGTTCACTGGCAAGTTCAACAAAAACTGGGAAAAAACATTGTACTCGAAGCAGTTGAAAGTTTCAAGTTGAAACGTGTTAGTTAGGAATTTACAGAATAACTTTAAAATCAAAGTCTAACTACGCACTTAAATATTTTACGTAGTCTATAAACTTCCTGAATCTAATTTTGTGTAAAGATCCCAATACGACAAAATTTTGGTTCAAAATCTCGAACGAGTTCCTCTTCCTCATCTCCCAAATTAGCCCCAACTTGCTTTCCCCCTTGCCATTGTTATACCTCTTTTCCCTCATTTGACAGGTGACAGGGACAGGGCGAGATTTAATAAAAACTTCCCACATGAATTGACTTTCACCCTTCATTCGCAGATAGTAAACCAAAATGGAGGAGAAAACCCGAGTATGTAACGTTGCACATTGGAAACAAAGGGGAAGAAAAAAATACATATTTCTGACTGATTTGACGCCAGAATACTGAATCATTTTTCCTTTTGTTACACAAAAACGGCGTGTCGTGATCGGAAGGCGGAAGGACGATGACAGAAAAGGGGAAGCGAATGAGTTGATGTTTGATTTGGAATTAATTTCTGAATCAGCTCTTTAGAAGGAGAAAGGAAAAATGGGTTTCAGGGACGTATGCCACCTGCTAAGGATTGTTTTATGGAGGGAATTTTCACATGACAATTTGCTCCTTTCAATCATCTAGATTAATAATAATGTAAGAATTGTATTAGTATTTACACTCTTCTGGGACGCCTTTGGACTGCGGGCACTGCACAGACTCGTACTCCGTGCGACCATAGTTTGCCGAATAAATGGCGAGACGGCTGCTTCTGTTGCATCTCAATTGCACCACTTCAGTTTCGCATCCAATGACACTTTTAAATTCGGCTGTCACAAGAAAAGCGAAAAAGTAGTTAATTTAGTTCATCTGTCCCCTGCAAGAATTTTGCTATCTCATATCAACATCTCATTCCAAGTCCAACCAGCACCACCACCAACGTCGCTTTTATAAAATAAACTTTAAACCAGGATTATGTAACCTGGTTTGAATTATGTAACATCGTAAAAGTCAGTGTAAGATTGAAAATTGATTAAATTTGAAATATGTCGACTAAAATTTATTCCACGATGTGTAATGAATTTTGAACCAAATTGATTTAGAATGAATTTGTTTTAAAATTTGTCATGTTTTTTAGAGCAGAATTGAGAAAAAAACTGTCATTCCGACTGCGCAAGTAACAAACTATAAAAATCCTTACCATCCCAATTTCTGAGATGACCATAACAAAGTAAAAAATGCGTCTTATTATTGTCGTCAAGATCAAAATTACTCGAGCGTGTGTATACTTTTGTCGCCAATAAAAGTGAAACTTGTTTCGTTTTTCTTGCTGACTGACAGTTATATGTATCTACGTACTTCCCACTTTTGTACTTTCTCTCCACAACTTTGTTTACCTTTTACTTCAGTATCAATACTTTCTACCTTGTAAAAAAACTTGCCCATTCATCCCGCCCGCCGTATGAATCGATATGATTTCGCTCACCGACACGGTCACTCTTGTTCTTCCTTATTGCATTTTGTTGAGCAAACGACACCCATTCACAGTTTACACCAAAGTTTTATGTTGTTTTGTGACTTTGTTGAATTTTCAGCGCGTAGGCGTAGAACGATGAAAATTTTATTATACACGATAACCTACTTACTTTCTTGCCAGAGTTAAAAATGTTTGAATGGGTTGAAGAGCAGTTCATTCAATTTCTTTTTCTTAGTGAGGCAAATACATAGCAACAAAAAAATTACTAAGCATGCAGTTGACCCTCCTCAAAAAAGTGACCACCGACGATATCTCAGTCATTTCTCAACCGATTTGGATGAAATTTTGCACCGATCATTCTTAGATAATTTCAAAACGACGTGCGAGTCGTCTTTTGGAATTTTTGTTTTTTAAGAGAGTTATTGGCAAAAATACGCGAAAATTTGCCCCTTACTGAACATTTCTTTTCATAGCTCATTAATGGGTCATCCAAACATGTTCCCTTATTGAAAACATTGAAGACAAAGTCATTCCGGTTATTTTAAGTCCAAAATTATCCAAATCCGTTAGGAACTCAGAAAGTTATTCAAATTTGAAATTTTTAGTGACCTTTATACCTGGCAACAAAAATTACGTGTGCATTGACCCCACCCCAAAAACTAACAGAAATAATTCAATATCTCAGTCATTTCTCAACCGATTTTGATGACATTTTGCACCGACTATTCTTATGAAATTTACAAATGACATTCAAACTGATCCGGATGATCAAAATCTGTTAAGAACTCTGGATATTATTAAATTTAGAAAACCTTCGAATTTTTGCAGCGACGCAAAGAATTAATGTTGTTGACAATAAATCTTCTAATCAACTCTAGATTTAAGGAATGTGTGGTGCTTATTATTAAATATATAAAGAACTCAATTACAAGTATTAAATAAACAAGGCCCCAAAAAAGGGAAATCTTAGTGAGGCTTGGTGCGACTACAACTAATAAATAAAATTAGATTGCAGAATTTTTGCATCACCGCTCTCTGTACCGTTCTTACTGGATCCAATATAAATTTTGTTTCGCATACACATGCATTTTTACATTTATTGAATTAATTTGGCTTTTAAGAAGACGTTTTTACCAGTGAATGAGAAGTTTGGTAAATTACCTAGGAATAAATTTAATGGGTAACAATTGTGAACTACGAATCTTTAAGTTGCAAATATGCTACAAAAGTTGCAAATATTTAATGTTAATATTTTCTGGATTATCCTATAATCTGGATATCCTATTAATTCATATTCTCATGAAATTACAAGCATGTTTGAGGGGAGTCATTTATTGCAATGATTACTTAATGTTTCCAATAAAGAATGGTACTGAGAGCGGTGATGCAAAAATTCTGCAATCTAATTTTATTTATTAGTTGTAGTCGCACCAAGCCTCACTAAGATTTCCCTTTTTTGGGGCCTTGTTTATTTGGCTGACCTTTCCAGTTAGAGGCGACACCTTGGTTGGTGCTGTTACATATCCAATGTCGCCCTATAAATATACGTGGCAAGGCAGGTACTGCACATTCAGTTCATTTTCAGGATTCTCCAGACTTGACCACACACACTTGACGAGTACTTGAGAGTCAGAGTCCTCCAAATTCACTAGAGCTGACCCCATCGGGATGACAAAACGAGGCCAAATCAGACAGTTATAGTGGACGCAACCGTACATATACATAGTTCGATAGAAGTGGGTGATAGTAGTGACGTGGGTTTTGAAATGTTTGCCTGCACTCACGTTCCATGTCACGGTCAAGTCGTCGTATAAAATTGTGAATTTCCATTAGTATTTCTTCTACGTATGTACTGTCCCCAACAGCAAATTCATTCATTGTCGTCCTTCTTCTTCTTCCTTCATTTCGCTCGAGTTGGGCTTAATGATTCAAGGACCACTGAGCAATTTCTTCTACTTCCCCCTTTTGGCAGTTCCTCGTCACTCACGAAAAGACCAGTAACGAGTCGCACTGCCAATCTCAAAGTTAAGCAAGCGAACAGTACGAACCGTTGACGGCTGTGGACTCCTCAAAGTAATTCCTGGTACGTTGTCCAATTCAATTCAATGGTAATAGAAGATTGCATGCAATTGAAATTGGCTTCCCCGTCCTCCAACAAGGGTTTCTTTACAATTGTCATCTACCAATCAACCGCCACCACCATCTCCACTCCTCACTCGACGGAGAAAGGTAATAATGAATACGAAGAAAGTCCTGTAAGATTGGGTGAAAATTTGGCATGTCGCTCTCTCTCGCATCTTCCTCGCTTTGAACGCGTGTCACACCGACAGGCCGCAGTTCAAACATATCTTTTCTCAATCTATCGAGTTCAAAGCGATAGAAGACACACAAACATCATCTATCTCTCGACCTGAACTTTATGCTCATTCCTCGACTACTTTCAATCAAGGCGACGATCTCATCACTTCGCGTGACAATTGAAACGAATGCCAAATCGACTGGTCAACTCGACCTACTTTTTGGAGGAAGGTGTCGGTTTTGGTATAGCATTTCCACCCTCATTCCCGACTCGATATGGACTCATTGTTCTCCATAATTAGGGAAGGCGAGAGAGAAATGAAGGTAAAGGTTCACTTCCACGGGAGAAAGTTACTTTGGTTTTGTTAATAAGTTCATTTTGCGAAGATGGAGATGGAAACTGTGATTTGTTCCATAAATTTAGCTCTCTTTCTCCTTCACTGATTCAATCGTTCGTGTGCGGAATTGAATTGGCAGCCGGGACCAGCGCAGGCAGCAAACAAGCTTGTATTTGACTCGTCTTCTCCTAACGGGCTGATTTACATGGAGGGAAAAGTACTCTATAAAGTAGTCCTCGTCCTCGTTGTGAGTGGTGGTGTCAACTTTCACATACACGCCACGTTCCTCCGTCTTTTCCAAATCTCAAGTCGCGACCAAATGATGTGAGAATCATGCAAAGAATTTCTGAACAGAAAGCCACCCATCAACATCAGAGTCAGAGAAACGGCATCCACCGTGGAATGATTGAGTGCCACTAAACTCCAGTGTGTAGTACTTGCACCAAACTCTCTGACTGAGCGACTCAATCCAAGGCTCCGGTATTGGTTCGTCGTGTGGTTGATAATGCAGGTAGTAAGTTGCAGAAGACGAGGAGGAAAGTGAGTCAACAAAAATCTCGAACCCGACCAAAAATACCAAGGTGCCACTGAATCATAGCAGAGGAACTATGTATACCGACAGAACGCTCAAGTTTTTATTTGCCTGAATGAAAATACGACGCAAACAAGAAAGTAAGGAAGCAATAGACAGTCAAAAGCAGAGATTGTCACCAATGTGTAAAAACAGTAGGAAAAAAGTCACATCATTACACAAGGGTCCGATTCATGCGTAGGTGTAAGTAAGATCACACCCGGTATGAAAAAGTGGTTGCTTTCTAATCCGTAAATCCAACATGATCAGGGAACAATGTTCACAAAGATTGAGATTACAATGTCAACAAAAAGAAATCCCGGTTAGTAAAAAGTTGTTTTGGAGGTGGTGGTTGCACTGGTTGACAAGCTTGATTGGAGATGGCGCCTCGGAGGCTTTAATTACGATTGCTCCGACAAAGACAGGTTTCAACAAGTCTCATCATGATTTCATCCTCTGAGGAAAAATCTGACAATCATACACATAATTTCATGTCGTCAATCATTCATTTGAAATTTTTGCTCAGTAAACACCTCTCGCTCTCTCGCTCCCGTAAAAATATTCAGAAAAGTTTTAAAAATTGTTTTTAATTGTTCTGCGAGTTATCATAAATAAATTGAGGGATGCAAGGTCAGAATATGCGACCTTATCGTGATTCGGCCGGCTGGATCAACATGCCCTCATTGGGTCCACCACCATCCGCGTAAGTTTCATTCACTCTTGTCTTTAGTTTATAAAAAATAAGAAGAAATGTTTACTTTTTTTACTATTTATTTAGTGCTGGACCGGCAGAAGGTAATTCTGGGCCTCCACGTCGTCGTGAATATACATTTGACGTGCCAGACGTCAACCTATATGAACCCTTAATTGGTATTCCACCGGGCTCCCCAGTAATTGAGTGAGTACCTATATTTAATTTATTAATGCCATCAGATGGGACATGTTTTATTTAATCATTAACAAATTTTATTATTATTTTAGTGTTTGGGATGGTCCGGTTGCTGCACTTTGGCAAGGAGGACGAGGGCAAGAAGCAGATGAGCACAACCTTGTCCAAAGGTAATGTGGTTTTTTTAAATTTACTAACTCATCATAATTCTAGTTTACATAATTTGAACATTTATGTAGTGCTGGACCCTCAGAGGGGGATTCTCTCCCCGCTGGTCGTCCCAAGAAGAGGAAATCAAGGAGGGAGTCGTGGGAGGATGAACGATGGCAGAATGTCGCTGGGATTCCACCACCTGCGCCAGCGACAGTAACCCCGTAAGTAATTTATTTTCCATTTAAAATTCCATAAGATGGTCCACTTACATTTGTACTTATTACTGTGGATTATTTTAGAAGACGAGTGCCTCCGTCTGCAGCGGCAGGAAGACGTGATGGTGGGCCAGAGAGACTTGTCTTTCGTGATGAAGATGTTGGACCTTTGGAGGGAGTATCGACACGTCACCTCACAAGAACGCCACTTGCACCTTTGTCGCGGTAATTATTGTTTTGTAATTAATTAAATCAATCGTTTACCAGCAGATGGTCCACTCGAATATTTATAAACACTTTATTTTATTTTGTATCATTGTAGACAAGGACCATCTGCTGCTGCTGGTCGACGGGGAGGAATGGAGAGACTTGAATTCAGTAATGACGATGACAACAACTTTCTCTCAAGCAGGTAAATTTGTACTATTTCATAATTTTTGATGACATATTTTTAGTTATAACGCTAAATAAATTGGTGTTTTTATAATTTCATTAGCTATGGACCCTCAGTGGGAAGATCTGCCGGTGATGAAAATCCACCACTCCCAAGAAAAAGACGCCGTATTATCGCCGGAGGGCAGGAAAACCAAAGGGAAGTTGCAAGATCTTTACCACATTCTACGACTACACGGTAATTAATTGATAGTTTGACTTTATTGCCATCAGCGTAATATCGTCGGACCAATCCAACCTGTACCAGTTGTTCGGTAATTATTAATGATTCCAATTATACACCAGCAGATGGTTCAGTAATATTTACACTTTATTTTATTGTGGCTTGTTTCAGGCGACGGCGAGAGGGAGAGGGACCCTCAGCTGCTGCTGGACGACGACGAGGAGGGCGTTTTGAGGATGTCGAAATCGTAGGATCCTCAGAGGAAGATAATGATACGTCATCGTCAGATGATGATTGTCCTTCTGATATTGGATGGCCGTCTGGATCCTCAGAGGAAGAAATGGACATTGATTACGATGATGAAGAATTTATGTTTGCAAGACCAACAAGACGTAGATCATGGAAGAGTGAGTTCATGTCCATTATAAGCTGGTCCAGTAATAATTTGTTGTTTATACAACTAATAATGATTTTATCTTAATATTGTAGGAAGGACTCATCCTAATATCATTGTGTCACGAGGTCACATCAGATACTACACCGACAATCAGGAGCAACAAGTCGCCAGAGAAGCTCTTATGGACTTTCTTCGCTCGATGGTTGAAGATCGACCAATGTTGTTCCAACTGCTGGCAAAATCAGGGACTAAATTTGATCAGAACATACCTTCTAGACGGATAAGTTTTGCCCGTTATGGAAAAGGATATTGCATCCCCCATAGCAGTGGCCGAGGAAATAGATACTTGTTATCCTTTATCCCAAACGAATGGAAGAACCACACATCCGATCGAGCTAAATCTTTCAATCGCCAGCCACGTCAAAGGAAACAATCCAGAAAATGGGACGCACAACGTCGTCGAACAAGCAAAAAAATCCACACTATCTATATTGCATCAGTTGTCCAATATGTCCATCCTATGGTCCACAACATCGACACCTTCCTGGACCCTACAATTCCTCAACAAATCTATATCGGTCAGCACGGTGAAATTGCTGGTGTATTGAGGATGCGCCAATATAACCTATCTGGCAAACGTCAAAAAATCCATAAAATTGCGAGGTCGAAGAAGTCCAAAATTTTCCAAGTCAAGGTCCTCCGAATGAAGAGTCACTTTGATCGTGAGCAAGGCGAGGCTTTCTTGATGGTGAGTTTAGATTTATAATGTAATTCTATCTGCTGGTCCATAGTTAACTTACCTTGTGATTACTTTATTTTTATTTTTAGGCATATGCCAGAAGGTGGAACAAATTACACCCGAAGGGGGCCAGATTCATCATCACGAGGACAGCTGGACTCGACCCTGGCAATAACAAAGAACTGTCGAAAAAGGCCCATCAGTTGGCAAAAGATGGTACCTGGATTTTCAAACGTTCGAATCGTCAACATCTTCGTAGTGTACCAGCTGCTGGACTTTCCTTTAGACAATTAATTGACTTGCCAATCCATCTGATGGAAGATGACATCATCCGAAGATATTTAACAGAGGAAGGGAGAAACATATGGCGAATTAAGAATAACATTGAAGTGTATTAATTATCTACTATCCTATGCATATGACGGGATTGCATTTATTTACTGTATGGTTTGTTGAAATCAATTAAAATTATTACAAAGGCAGCCGCGAGAAATTTCTTGTTAGATTTTCTACTTATTTAGTTGGATGAACGCCCCCAATAAGTTCCGGATGTGAGAAGAAATGAGCACACTTCTCTCTCTCTCTAAACTCTTGATTTCTGCTGTGCGGAGCTTTCCCTCGGGTGCTGAAACTCACCCAGCCAGGAAGAAGAAGAAGGATGGAAAAGGGTTGCTCGAGAAGGCTCGTCGTCCTCGTCCCTAAAAAACTGAAGACTTTTTTTTAGTCCAAAGTATGCATCAGTACATACGTCTAGCTGAGTTTTGTAGTTGGTTGCTGCTACTGGTGGAGAATGGATATCTGATATTGATGACACTCACATCCATTCATTTCCATCCGTGGGATAAATCTTACCCAGACGACAACTCGTCCAAGTTTTCTTTACCCTTCAGGTAATTTCCCTCCATTCAAAAAAAAATCGGAGAGAAACTTTAATCCTGAATAAATCTTAATCAGTTCTTAAGCAGAACTCACAATGGCAGTACGCTCATAAATAATTATGTTGGGTCAGGTTCTGAATATAAAATTAGCGATTATAGAAATGCGCCATAAATGGCACTTTTTATTTTAGCAATATAATTTTAGGTCAAATTAATCTCAATTTCCTGCATAAATTAGACCCTAAAACATATCGCAAATTGTGTTAATTGTCTCGTGTGAAGGAAACTTTAGATTTTACCCTAGTTTCAAAAGTGTCAGTCAGAAAGTTGAGGCCAATTATTTATAAACCTTGGCTATTTCACTCTCACTAATACTACTCAGTCCTAAGCCAACTTTCTTTACTGCTTCTACTATTGCTGCGAGTTGCATAATATCCTCGTGACATTAAAACTCTCTTGGCAACTAAGATCCCTCTTCTTCTGGGCGTGACGTACTCATTCGTAAGTGAGACTTGCACTTATGTAAGTGACCACCAGTGACTGCGAGATACATACGTCTCACTCTCGTCTATTACGTTGAAGTCGGATTTCTCGAGCCAATTCAAAGTTCCTGATTTCACCCCATCTCCGTCGAAATAGTAAAACTTTTTGGCGAACGGGTACAAACTTTACGGGGTCCGAGAAGTTGATAGCTTTGGTCAGTTTGCTCGTTTTCGCGAAAAGACTATGGCGAATGTGACTAGATTTCGGCATCAGACTCGTTATTTATCAAATGTCGTATCACCTCTGAGAAGCACATTACTCGAGAAATATCTGACAGTGGTTGGTGCTGGACTGGATGAGCGTATGTAATAAAAGATGCGGAATGGACAGTAAAACTAGAATGTATGTATGAACTTACTTGGTCGACACTTGTACACGGTTTCCATATACTTGCGAGCCCCGGGACACGGGTCACCACCGAAAGTTCTGGGTGAAGTTTGAAATTTACAACTCGTCTTCTTCTGGCATAACCCCACCACGGTCTGTAATAATTGATACTGCTCCAACTTACTCAACACGGTTCGAATTTCACACAGTTCACGCCTCGTAAATCCAACTACTTTAACTAATTAGCCACTCGACACGATCAAAACCATGCTGTAATGTCATTCCTCAGTTCATGCAGAGGTTTTTCTTACCATTAGCCGGGGACATATTAACCCACACAGTTATGGACATTGCGTGCATACATACATATTTTCATACGTGGCGTCCTACAAAATTACTGGGCCAGCAGCTGAAACCTTTTCCCCCATAATGCAAAGCTTTAAAGCACCAAACTATAAAAGCCTCTTCTTAAGCCAGTTGTAAACTTATGTGAAAACACATAAAAACAAAGGGATAGATTTTCGCAGATTTTTCTCACTTTATGTACAAAGATAGAAAGGACTGTGATTTTGTGACATAATATTCTCATAAAAGTCCACTAAAATGAGAGACTAAAGCAATATTTTATGAAAATAAGATACTCTCATGTCCTCGGAGGAGAGGCGACTTTCCGAATATCGCCTTTTATTACGACAAAAGCAGCCACAGTCTCACTGACTGGACGACTTACTTTTGATTTCACAGGGATTCCCACTTTTACTTTTGTTCTTTCATCATTCTCTTCGTCGTCCGTGTTCAGAATTCTGGCTTTAAAACAGTTCAAGTTTTCTGTGTCTCATCCAAGCAAGGCGGCCATTAGTTGTTAAATATGTATACCAATACTCTCTGAAAAATCTGAATTGATGGAAAAATGTCTGTTTGCTATGCCAAAGTTGAAAAGATTTTTTTAAGTGCCGACCTGAATTGAAGTTTAGGACTGGTCTTCTCGTTATAATAATGAAAAAATTCACGGGAATGCGGTGTCCCATTTTTCCTAACTTCTTTTGGACGACTGCTGGGTCATTTATTCTTCCGGGGAAGTACATGAGTAAGTAGCTGGACGAAAAGTAACTACCTCGACTAGATTGTCCATGTCGAATCCGTATATCTTCACTAACTGGGAAAGGCTCCGACTATTTTCTGCAAATCCATTCTATTTTTCAAGCATCACCAATTTTTTTCGAGTTGAAGTGATTTGCAGATCATTACTTCAAGTTCAGTAAAAGCGACATCACTAAAATCACGAACGTTTGATAGCCAGCGCAGAAATTCGCTGTAATAAAATTCTTAAAAGGTAAATTCTCTTGCCCATCTCATTTTTTTTAGAAATTCGGATTTGTCTTTTATGTGGGGATTTTCCTCATACGAATAATAAGAAGTATGTATTTCAAGGTTTGTGTGTCCACCGTCGTTGAAGTAATTTGATGGCTCTTTTGAGCACAAGGGGAATTGTGTGTTCTGGAGAAATTTTATTACCTCTGACAATTGGGATGGATGAAAAGGGTTGAGAAAATTCTGTGTTCCCCAGCATTTTGCTGGGAATAGGCTGCTGACTCAGTCACCTTCACGGTTTAATAACTGGGCTGCGTTATGCATATTTTTTAGTGTCCCCATTAAATATTACAAAATTTAGGAGGGGAAGACATCTAGCTGGAGTAAAATTTGGACTCTTTTTTTTAAAAATTGTGTGTCATTAAAAGTGTTATGCACACAAGACGAAATAAATAAATACTGCTATCAGCTGCATGAACAAGGTAACAAATAATACAGCATCTACCACCAAACAACTCAATAGTGCCAAGTAAGCGTGAAATCTAATCATGCAAAATTCTCATTGTGCATGCCACGAGCTGGTCAAGCCAAACCAACGCCCAACAAAGTACTGAGATTAGTTGTGAATTTAGTTACGCAAGTTAAATACTTAAATAGGTAGATACCTGTATGGCACTGGGCATCAAGCACGTAATATTGTTGTAGGGATCCGTAATGGAGGAATCTACGAGTTCGGGATGAATACTGCCCGGCGAATGACACAAGGTCGGGGAGGGTGCCGTTTTTCCGTATTGTGCCAACTGCACAGAAATCGTCGTTCCCGTCGGACATCGCAAGATCACGTATTCCCCGTCACATCCAGCCTTCTGATAAGTCCGCAACGTTCCAGAGAGCAGGGCTGTAAATAAATAAATAAACAGAAAAACTTGATAAGTCTATACGATAACCTTGAGCAATGTTTTATTAGCGTTTGACGACTACTACTTTCATCAAGCAGACTTTTCCTTGAAAACTTTCACTAGAGAAATGCACCATGTGCATTAATCTTAAGTCATTAATTCTGCTCGGGTTCGATTTTATGTTTACATTTTAACTTTAGTAAATATACAGAGTCGTGTAGCAAGTTTGTATTGAAGATTACTCAATTTTTGGTTAGTATGCAGCTTCACATTTCTATGTGCACGAGCATATTTTACTTAATTACGCTTTTGCTACTTTCTTTTCAAATAATAAATTACTTCCACCGAGAGTATTCATATTTATACAGCATAGTTTGCTCACTCAATCATAATCTTAATGGGCCATAAATGAAAATGTTTTACATTATATAACGCCATTCAGAGTGTATGTAAGTAACCCTTGTAAAATGTTACGTGGTGCCGCTGCAGGCCAAATTCTCAGTCAGTGAAACTTGTCATACTTGTGACACACAGAAGATATTCTCATTTTCACTCTCTTCATAATCAAGAAGAAGGAGCAACTCATCTTGATATTCAAATCTCTTCTGACGGGATTAATGATCAGCATTCATCATACCGCATGCCTCGTGCAATGGAAATGACAGAACGGTTGAGAAGCCTCATTATCCGTCAAATTAGCAAACTCACGAGTTAAGCAGAAGAAGAAGGATGGATGGATGGATACGTTACATAAGAGCATTAAGAATTATTTTAAGCCAGTCACACCACCACGAGGCCACTTTGCATTTGAAAGTGGGAATCAGAATTGATATTTGGCATCATTTGAATGGAATGAAAGTGATCATCATGCTGCTGCGGCCACGAGGAGATTGCATAGTTAAAGAGTAAAGTAGAACACTTAAGGATCTACTCGACTCTCTCTCTCTGGCCGGCTTTCTTGAACAAGAGAATAATGGACAGTAGTTAATTGAGATGTTGATGCTAATGAAAATTGTAATCTCGGAGAGTGCATTATCATTTATGGTTGTGGTGGTGGTAGCAAATGTTCAAAAGAGCACAGTAAAGACTTTCCCTGCTTTCTCCTCCAAGCCTCCTTGTTTACGTATTCTTACGATTATTATACATAAAACTGTTAAACTTTACATAAATAACTACCTTAAACTACGATACTTTTGAGTATACATAAGTGGGCCTAAATTATTAACCAGTGTTACACGATAGGTACACACTTTCACTTTACTAATAACATAATAAACCCTTATTTTTTTGAAAATGGCTAATTCTTCGTCGCCCTTAATTGAATGACGAATTGTCCAACTTTCATCTAACTAATCTTGCATATTCTTTCGACGTCCTTAAATTTTGCATGTGCAAATTGTGAGCACTTCTCGGAAGGAAACATCCCCATGATGGCGAGGAGGAGATGATCTTAATCAGGGAACACTTGGTTGAGCCTTTCACCATTCATCCACCTCCGCCTTTCACCACTCATTCATCTCGTCCTTCTTCATCTCCTCGCTGAATGTGCTCTTCTCCATCCATCCGTCCGTTTTTCAATGGCTTATTCAAATTCTCTAGATTCCATTCTAATCCTTGTAATGGTTAAGCAATTCAATTTTCAACTCACACCAGCACTCACTCACGATATTCCTCTCTCTCGCTGAGCATAAACCTGTTTTTCCTTAGCCATATCGCGTCCTTTTAGTCATTTCCAGCCATCCACTTTCTCTTAAGGAGACGCTTGGTTAACATGGATGAAAGATAATTATTTCTCTGAGACGTACAAATTGAGAAGAAAGTTTAATGAAGCTTGGGGACACCCATGGACCGACCCATTACGCTATATCTAAGTTATTAGTTGTATGTATGTTTTCGCTAGGGGAAAGTATGACGCATGTCCATATATACGTATATTCAAAGGCGTGTCTTGGGATGGACGCTCCAAGAATTAAATCCTATTATGAGCGGATAAATCTATGTATGTCATTGCCCATTTCATAAATGGGATGAATTAAAAGAAGGGAGAATTCTAAAATAGGAGAAAGCAAGGCTAATTTAGCTTTCATTTTCTACTTTCACTCGTCTGAATGCAATTCAAAGTGAAAGTAGGAGACGATGAAGTCGAGATTGGAGTATTGTCCGAATCTTGAAAATGATTGCTGTTTCACGACGTACATTTACAAATACGTCGTCACTACTGATTCTCGTATTTTTTTTGTCGTACAATCAAATACTACATGGATCAACTGTAAATCACACATCTGCAAATGTGTGTATTTCCTTCTTAGGACTGAAGTCTGCAAGCGAATTCTATACACCAAAGTAATCGACCCTATACGAATCGTGCCCAACTTTGTTGTCGTCGACGTAGTCTATTCTGACTGGATTTTCGACAAAGGTCGACACTTGCTTTTAATTGGATCTTCTAAGCTCTTACAGGAATCACATAAAAGGGTTTGTACCATTCTCTCGCTACAGTACAAGAATAGCACACCCACTTCGTTCTGTACGTACCATATCACAGATTTGACTTTCATCACCACCAAATCCGCACTATATTCTGCTCAATTGTTATACGTCTCAAGGGCACACGTTGTCCTGCTCAGACTGACCCAATTTACTTTATAAAACATTTGCTGTCTGACCAGCTAATAAAAAGTAGCACATGCATACATACGTAGAACCCTTTAAATAGTTAGACTCGCCTTCCCAGGCGAAATCGGGCTAAATATTCACCTAAGTAGCCGAACTGCCCGTAATGCGTTTTGTTGTCTCTTTCATTTCCTCCAAGATGGTGAGGATCGACTTTGCAAAATCGTTCCTCCCATTACCATCCCTTCCCTTAACCGAGTGGGCGGAGGAGAAGGGAAAGTTGAAAGTGGTGAACTTGTTGTAGTGCTATTGCCCCCATTAGATTACATTATTGCCTTAACATTATATCGCAGATAATCTATTGTGACCATCTGACAATGAGTGTTTTTCTTTCTTTGGGCGACATAGATCATGCCGGTCCTCTACGTGCAGGGGTACATTTGCGATTACTAAACAGAGGTCTGGTCTGCAACTAGAGAAAATTCTCCTTCACACTCGGCATCTCTTGACTCCCACGATGCATACGTAGTGATATGTGCGATATAAGAAAGAATAACGGGTCAGATAAAATGGCCATCTAAAAAGTAGAGACAAGCGAACCAGTGGTGGAATCGAGACACGCAATAAATGTAAAAAGTCTGTTGTTACACGAAAAAGAAGTGGCTCTTCAAACTCAACTAGAGCAATAAAAGGAAATAACAGAGTAACAAAGCGATATATTTTTGTCTAACTCGCTCTCTCTCTCTCATCTCAACTAGAGAGAAAGTCTTTCTCTTTTTTGAAATCACCGAAAATGGTTTGATTCTACAAATACGGAGGGAGCAACAATAACGAAACTGCAGAAGAAGGAGTACATACAACACAACACATATCTAAGTAAGTATATTACGTATGTGGGATGGTGCTGGTTGGGTTTTCTTCGAGAAGAAAGTGCTCATCCGCTTGCTTTCTCTTTAGAAAAATATAAGTGCTTTCGCCTCCCTCCAAGATTTAAACTAGGATTTAAGTCGTGTTCTTCTTCTTTTCTCTCAGTTTCACAATGCAGTTTCGTCCTTAATACCAATTCGCAATTGGATTTGATATAAACACACAATAGGAATGAAATACTCTTTTCCCTTAATGTCTACTAAATTGAGTGGTATATGTAACCACTTTCACAAGGATGCTGCACAGTTCGCCAAGTTTTGCATTGTTTTTATGCTGCATTGCATAATTTTCGTGGAATAAAATTGCCAACTTTGAACAATATAAATATACTTTTACAATTTATCTTCTCGAATTGTTTTTAAATGCATATTTGCAGAATATAAATGAAATTGAGGCATACATAACAAGACATCAAATAACCTTCACGGGGGTTAAAAAATAGATATTTTATGTAAGAACTTTTTCCGCTTATTTGATTTGATTGCACATGTCGCATAGAAAATTCAAAAAATTAGGTGCTTTTTAACAAGCAAATATCGTGTACCCTCGATACTGCAACTGGAGCTTGAAATAGGCACATTCCGCTCCAAATATTTGAAGCTTACGGTACATGATAAGCAAACACGCTGGTTGTGAAACTCTTTATTCTTCTTCCTTGAAGTGAAATCGGAAGTGGGACTGAGAACCCAAACAAGTATCATTTGAGAGGAATTGACGTCAAAGATTTATTGCTTTGTAGTTAAAGGAATCTACTTGGAAGAGCAGAATTTGGGCAGATTCTACTTTGTGTGGACACACAGACAGACGTGGCCCTGCGAGAAGAATACTACTCCTGGCTGGCAAGAAGTGGAAAAGGGCTCATCTATAAAATTGGTGGGAAGAAGAAGGTTCCCCGTTTTTCATGCAATAAGGATCACATACAGTCGTTGTACTTATGTAAGTAAGTAACAAAGCCTTCTTCGTTCCTTTGGTAAATGGATAGGCCATTAAACGCCGAATATTATATAGTAGGTATTAGATACTCGTCGTGGAGTGAGTGCAGCCAGTTGGGCATCTAGATTAATGACTCTCTTTCGCTAAATCTGGGAAATAAAAATTGAATTATGTGCAAGTAAAGGTCCCGTCTGAGCATCCTTTCCAGCATACAAGACTAAAACTAAAAACGAGAAGCCTTACATGGTAAACTTGGATCCTTGTTCCTGCATTATTTTCAAAGATCACACTCCTCGATAAAATCCCAGACGAGAGTAACAAATGTGTCGAACGAGGCATTATCACTCTCACGAGGGGACTTGCATACGTATATTTATCTAGGAAAATGCAATTCTTAATGTGATATGAATCTCGTTAGTTGGAAATTCATAGAGATTTGTTTAAAGAAACGTTATCTCTGTTACCATCAACGATCCATCTTTACCTTATCGTGAATAAGAATAAGTTAAAAAATCACGAGAGTCGA